GCTTTCCTTCGTTGTCACCCCGTATATCTAAATAGTTTTGACCACGTTTTTCATTTCCTGAGCTTCAACTGACACTGGACGGTTCAAGGGATTCCTCTCCTGGAATGGATGGAATCGCTTACTCTTTTTTAAAACATGCTTCTGATAAAAGCAAAGAATATTTTTTAAATTTAGTAAACAGTTTTTATGAGCACGATTCTGTTCCCCAGCCTTGGCGAAATCAAATTGTTATCCCGATTCTCAAACCCGGTAGGTGTCCACAAGACCCAGATAGTTACAGACCTATAGCGTTGTCTTCTGTTTTATGTAAGGTCACAGAGTATATGATAAAACATCGCCTTGAATGGTTCGTAGAAAACAGGAAATTGTTAGGGAAATCCCAATATGGGTTTAGAAAGGGTAGAAGCACAATGGATAGTCTCAGCTTATTAACGACTGAAATCCGAATCTCTTTTCTTAATAAGGAATACTTAGGTGGAGTTTTTCTTGATATAACGTCAGCGTATGACAACGTCCTGATTCCAATCCTCAAAAATAAACTGATTTACCAACTTGGAATTCCCGAAAAAGTGGTCTGTTTTATTTGCAGCTTATTTTCGGAAAGATCCATCACAATCAAAAGTGGGGACTACTCGCTATCACCCAGGATGATATGGAAGGGCTTACCTCAAGGCTCGGTACTAAGTCCTCTATTGTACAGCCTTTATACATATGACTAACGAGTAGTCGATAGGTCCATATGTTCAAATTCTCCAATACACTGACGATCTAGTTTTGTATTTTCCTAATAAATCTATTGGGGCAATTATTTATAATTTGTCAAGTGCGTTCAGTTTATTATCGTCGTGTTTATATCGCCATGGACGTTCTTTATCGGCCTCAAAGAGTTCGGTCGTAATTTTTACCAAAAAGCGAATGATTCCCCAAGTTGGCATCTCAGTCCTTGATGAAGTCATTCCGCAGTATGATAAAGTTAAATTCCTTGGGGTGTGGTTGGATTCCAGATTGACAGGTGTGTCTCATACTGATTATGTTGTAAAGAAGTGTGAAAAAACATTAATGTTCTTCGCTCCCTTTCTGGAGTTTGGTGGGGTTCCCACCCTTTTTCCCAAAAACTTCTATACAACGCTATAGTCCGCAGTCACCTGGATTACGGCTTATTTGTTATAGAGCTCATAAAGAAATCTGGTCTCCAAAAACTCGACAAAATTCAGTCTAAATGTCTCCGCATTATTCTCGGAGCGATGAAATCCTCCCCTATTAACGTTATGCAGGTTGAATGTGGTGATCCTCCTCTGTTTCTTCGTAGACAATTTCTTGCCAACACATTATTTTTTAAACTTATCCAAAATGCTGACCATCCGCTCCTTACCAAACTAGATCAGCTATCTAACTTATTGAATAATCTTGATACACGTTCTAATAAAATTACCCCCTGCCTTCTTCTTGCTTACCAGCAATTCACCCATCTCATCAATCCTTTATTTCAAAACTCCACCTTACCTTTTTTTTGTACGCCATACGAAGCGTTAGTATTCCAACCAAATGTCATTCTGGACTTGGGAATCAACAAGTGCTCAATAGAAGCGAAAAGTCTATTCACTAATAAAATTACCTCCAATTATAATAATTGGCGCTTAATTTTTACAGACGCTTCTAAAATTTAACATATTAAAAATGGAACATATTAAAATAGTTAATGAAAAGTCTAAAAAGAGTTTCTGTGCATTGACAAGGATATCAACTGCGACATGGGGTCTATTATTTAATACTTATTTAGGTTCTATGTGCTATGGTGCACCTGTATGGGCCGATAGGGCGACCGTAGGCGCTGTCCGTCGCAAACTGTTACAAGGCCAACGACTTGCACTGATATTCTTGTGTAAGGCATATAGGACGGTTAGCACTGAGGCTTTGCCGGTGTTGGCGGGTGTGCTTCCGGTCGATCTCGAGGTGCAGAGACGTGCAGCCATGTACTATTCAAGACAACAAAACATGGAATGCAATTTTTCGGCGCGCGGGATCGCGGTAAAATTACAAGATTGCTTCAACAGCAGTCCGATGTCTATAATGACCTCATAGACGAATGGCAACAACGCTGGGATGAATCATTAAAGGGGCGCCATCTTTACCAATTCTTTCCATCTGTTCGCGAACGGTTGTCGACGACATGGCTTGAGGTGGATCACTGTGTCGCTCAATTTCTTACGGGTCATGGTAACTTTAAGAGCAAGCTTTATTCATTTAAATTAGTCGAGTCACCATTGTGTCAATGCTCAACACCTAACTCTCACTATGAACAGTCTGCTCATCATATCCTCTGGGAATGTAGTCTTTAGTATAATGAACGTAATATAATGCTGAATAGCTTGCAGGTGACATCTGGGGCGGTATACTATGGGGATCTTGTGTCAACTCACGTAGGACCCGTAATATTTTGTGGCCGTGGTGCTTCCCTGTTTAAAAGGGTGTATGCCCATTTTACTTCATTTTGTCTCCCGCTTTGCTAAGGAGGAAAGAGGATTTACTGTATTTCCAATTCCTCCAATTTTCTTCTGATTAATTTCGTTGCGGGTTCCAAGATATTTTAATTTCTTCCTGGGACTTCCCGAGTGTCATAACTCGGTGTGTTCGTGAGTCACTGCTGTGGATCCTGGTGTACAGGAGTTACAGTGGTGGGCGTGTGGGTGGGATTAGTCCCAACTATAAAGACGCTTCTAAAATCTCATCAAATGGCCCAGTTGGTGCTGCTGTCTGGATTCCTTCTACTAGCATAATTCTAAATTATAAATGTCCCGCTACTTGTTCTGTCTTCACTGGTGAGTCTATAGCAGTCTTAGAAGCTATTTCCTTTATAAAATCCCATAATTTAAACAATAGTATATTTTTTTCGGATTCCAAAAGCTACCTTCAATCTATTCTATAAAACCCATTCCGATCAAATTCCAATAGTCCTATTGTCCTTAAAATTAGACATCTTTTATTTCAATGTCAAAAACTGAACATAAACATTGTCTTAGCCTGGATTCCTGGACACGCAGGAATTCCAGGAAATGAGACTGCAGATTCATGTGCAAAAAATGCTGTTTATACAGGCTCTTATGACCATACAGAAATATACTCTTACGATATTTGTTCACCCCTTAAATCACAGCTGTTTGATTTGTGGTTCAGGCTGTGGCGCGTGTCGAAAACTGTGAGAGGCCAATTTTACGGCGTTATACAACCAGAAATTCCACTTAAGCCCTGGTTTAATTAATTTAAAAAATTAAATAAAAACACCACTTCTATAATTTGTCGGTTAAGACTAAATCACTCATGCACTCCAGTATTTTTAGCACACTCAGAATTAGGGATAGCTCTATTTGTGAGTGTGGGCTTGATGAGGGAAACGCGAACCATATATTTTTTAATTGTCCTAGAACTAAGTTTCCTATTTATGAATTCATTCCTCCTCATATTCCTCATCCCACGTCCCTTAAATTACTCTTATCTCGCGTTTTACTCCTTTTGTATACATTCTAGGTAAGTGTATAACTTTAAACAAAATTCAATTATAGTTTCAATATCACAGTGTAGTATTTGTTTTTGTTTTACTGGTTATTTCTTATTTTGTATGTGTATATATATTATTAGCTGTATATATATTTTACTAGTTTAAGTTTTATCATGCCTGTAAAAGATAACAATTTATTCATTCTTATTCTTTCATTCTCAAAATTTTTTTTTGCCTTTACCACAGTTCTACATAAAATCCTTTGACAGTTTGTCTTTCAAATACATGACATTGGCGAAATTGTGGTTATACTCTACCACAAAGCCATTAACCAAAAGTTGAAGTTGAAGTTGCATTTTTTGTTTGTTTTCTTGCGGATTTATTATTGTAACTAATAAGCTTTCTAAATGGACTCCGACAATTCTCACGATATATCCTGAGCGAACTTGGACTCGATATCCATTGATAAAGTATTTACACCGGCCGAAGTTCTATACAGCCCACAGTAACGTATTCAAAAGGACATTAAAGCTGTGTCAATTGTGGTGTTAATGTCACCAAATGTTCGAAATCTTTTACAGATATGAGCTCGACCACGGCAGGTATATATAGTTCAACTCAGTTGTGCGCGCGGCGGTGACGCGGCAGTCGGACGACGACTGCCACACGAATGAAAGTTGTATATTTACAAGCCCACGCACACATAGGGCCGCGCGCACAACTGAGTTGAACTATCTATAAATAGTTAATCCATGTCATTTCTTCCTCTCAGAAATACTTTTTAACTGAGTTAACTTTAAATAAACAAAATATTTAATAATTTTGGCCAATTTATTATTAGGCACAAGTTTAGAGTGACAATGTAGTGTCCCACTCATGCTTTAAAACTGTATTTGTAAACCATTTAATATCTTAAAAATCCCAACTTCTTTATTAAATCATTTCCATATGCTTTTATATGTGTACACCCAGGGCTAAAGTGTCTATGGTCAGTGGGCATTCCCCTTTGCGGTAGTCTCATACATACTTTCATCCCCTAGTAAAGGGGTTGGGGGGGTAAAAGTTCCAAGTTTTAGAATTTATTGTTGGCTGTGTACTAATACCAGCTTACATACCAAATTCTAACTTTCTTCAGGACGTCCTGAAGTCCTAGATAACTCACTCACTGATGATCGTCAAAATTATTATTATTTATGGAGTACCCTAAGAATTTTGATGATCATCAGTGAGTCAGTGACACAATAGGGGTTTCTTAGATATTAAGAAAATTTTAAGTTAAAGAGCTATGCAATTGAAAGTTTATATGTTTAAACGAAATACTTGAAGAAAAGGTAGGTAAGTGCCCTTTCACTTCGCTTCACTGGTCTTGGCAGGGGCACTACCTTGCCCCTGATTTATCTTCATGGTATTATAGCTATTAATTATAATGAAAGCTCATAGTAAGTTTAAATAGTTATAGTAATTGACGCAATAGAATCAAAGTTTTATACAAGATAATACTTACAGATATGTCAGATTCTTTAAGAACTTTTTCAAAATAGATGCCAGCAAAACCAGAAATAAAGCATGCGCCGAGAGCTGCACTAAATCCTAATAATTTGGACTGGCCAGCTTGTGAAGCATTTGAAGCTTCTGTACTATTAGCTAATTGAACCAGTGCTACTCCAGCTGCTAACAATGCTAAAGCACACCATTGCCACTTTTTAAGTATCTTTTTCAATACAAGCACCGCAAAAAATGCGGTAGTTAATAACTTTAATTGATATGTCACCTAAAATAGAAAATATGGATTAGGCATTTGACTTATAACAAAAAATTTAATAGTAATAAAAGTTTATTACTAACTTGATAAGTAGCTGCATCCAAGTTAGATGCTGACACATAAAGTAAATTGTTTTGTATAATGTACAAAAAGGATGGCACCCCAACTCGTAATGTGTCTCGAATATTCAATATGACTATAGTATACATGGACTTTAATCCACGATTAAAACCACCAGATTCTTGTATCACAAGGCAAACACATATAACTAATTTAAATACTTCTGCCATTAAAACAGCTGAAACAGTGAATAATTCAATATTGCATGGTTTATAATATATACCTTCGTAAGTTCACATATGTATGTACATAATATCATGTGTATTATTATGACAACAATCTTGTTAAATATACAATTTTTATGTACAACTAACAGAAAAATAATATGTGCATGCATTGCATTCAAATACGTGCAATAAATAATATGCAAATAAATAATATGTGCAATGCTGGCACATATTATTTTTCTTAACCTATATTGTTATATAACCTATTGAGAAGGAAAACTTGACACAAACCCTTTTTTTTTTTTTAACGTGTGGAAATCCCCTCGGACCGTCACCCCACCGGGGTTTGCGGCGGGGTGGTGTGTCGGACTCGGACCGACTAAAACCACACGGTGTGCCACTCTGCGCCTGTAACAGGAGGGATCCGGGAACAGCTGTTATTAAGACATCCGGACCCCTCCTAGCGCCAGCCCGCTCCTGGTGCGGGCTCCGTCTCAAAATTTTCCTCTCTTTAGGCGACGTCCGGCACACGCGGACGCCACCCCCTCGCGGCTGGCCAAACTAATGCGGGTGGAGGGGAAACCCACCCCGTCCACCCGCGGCCACACTCAGGGCGGCATGAGGCGGTGATAGGCGCGCCTCCGCCGCCCGGTTCGCCGGCGGCGGATCGGGTCCGAGTGGAGGTCGTCCTCCCGGGCCTTCTCCGCCGCCTCCTTCTGCGAGATTACTTCCTCGCAGAAGGTTGCGACCGCGGTAAAACAACTGTCGCTACCGGCCATGGAGCGTACTACGGCCGGTAGCGAGAGATCCACTCCGATGACTGCAGTGAGGGCCCGGCGCTGCGTCGCCCATGCGGGGCATACCGCCAGCGTGTGCTCGGCCGAGTCCTCACTGCAGTCGCAGTGGTGGCAGGCGGGACTCAGTTCCCTCCTAGCGACCGAGTGCAGGTACTTTCCGAAGCAACCGTGCCCGGAAAGCACCTGCGTCAGCCGGAAGGTAAGGGTCCCGTGCTGCCGCCCTGCCCACTCGGCGAAGCCAGCGCGTGGAGTCTCCAGCCGGAACGACCAACGAGCCATCGTGGCTCGGCGAGCGGCTTCGCGCCACTCGCGCACGTCTTCGGGCGGAGGGCGAAAGTCGCTCTCCGCCCGGGAGTCAACCCCTCGCCGATAAACCTCGGCGAGCACTTCCGCCTCCAAATCCCACGGGGGAGTTCCGGCCAACGCGCACGCCACCTCCGTCGAAACGGTGCGGTAACCGCGTATGGCTCTGACCGCCATTACCCTCTGAGGGCGCCAAAGGCGTGCCCTATTCTGGGCGGTCAGAGCCGCCGCCCACACCGGTGCACCGTATAGTGCCATTGACCGGACAACCCCCGTGTACAGTCGTCTTGTCGCGACGCTGGGTTCACCCAAATTGGGCAAAAGTCGCCCTAGGGCAGACGCAGCGCCGACCAGCTTTGGAGCAAGCTGTCGGAAGTGCTCGTCGAAGAGCCACCTCCCGTCGAGGATCAGGCCCAGATATTTCATCTGGGCCCGAACCGGTACGAGGACCGAGTTGACCACGATTGAGGCGCCAGGGGGTGGACCACGACGGGGCCCATGAAATAACAGGGCCTCCGTCTTATCTAGGGCCACCCGTAAGCCCAGCGCCTCAATGCGCCCGACCACCAGGGAGACTCCCCTTGTGGCCAGGCGCGCCGCCTCTTGGAAGTTCGTCCCCCGGGCTGTAACCAGAGTATCGTCTGCGTAACAAATTGCACCCAGCCCGGGGGGGAAATCGGCTCGAAGGGTCCAGTCGTAGCCTATGTTCCACAAGAGGGGTCCAAGAACAGACCCCTGTGGAACACCGCACGACATGGGCCGACACCTCAAATTACCATCTCGGTCCTCGTACACGACGGTACGCTCCTCTAAATAGTCTGCCACTAGCCGCCTCAGGTACTTTGGCACCCCATGATAGTGGAGTGCTTCCCTGATGCAGCTGAATGGCAGACTATTGAATGCGTTGGCGATGTCTAATGACACCGCCAACAGCACGCCGCCACAGCTCTCTTCGGTCACGGCCCTCAGGCGCAAAACAGCGTCGACTGTCGAACGCCCCGCCCGAAAACCAAATTGGGCGTCCGACAGATCGGGGTCCACCTCGTAGAGGTGCCGGACGATGCGGGCAGAGAGAACCCTCTCAAACAATTTACCCGCCTCGTCCAGCAGCACGATGGGCCTGTAGGCCGCGACCGGATCGGCAGGCCGTCCCGGCTTCCTTAATAGGACCAGCTTCCCGCTCTTCCAGCACTCAGGGAAACGTCCCGACGCCAAGCTAGCGTCGAACACCTCCCCGAGGCGGTCTGCCATGTGGTTGAGGGCTAGGGCCAGCACTCGGGCCGGTACCCCGTCTGGCCCGGGGCGGTGTTCTTGGAACGGATCCGTAGAACAGCCGCCCCTACCTCCGAATTCCGGACGGGCGGAACATCATCCTCCTCGTGCTCCCCGTCGTCTCCGGCCAAGGAGGCCATCGCCGGGGGAGTGTGTTCCGCTCGTTGCGGGAAAAGGCCCTCAACCACTTCTCGCAGGAAGCTGGACTGGAGAGTCTCCGTAAGGGGGGGGCCCGACTTGCGGAGCTTTTGTCGCACCGCGCGATAAGGGCGACCCCAGGGGTCACGATCGAGACCCTCCAGCATCTCCTTTCTCTTTATCTCTTTGGCGCGGCTAATGGCCAGCTTCAGAGTTTTCCGCGCCTCTCGGTACTCCTCATGAAGCCGGTCCTCCTCACCGTCTCCACGGTGACGCCGCCGACTACGCGTGTAGGACCTCCGGGCACGTGTACAGGCCGCACGGAGGTCCGTCAGCTCCTGGGACCACCAGTAGACCTCCTTCCTTGGAGGCCGACAACCTCGAATGCGGGGCATGGCCGCATCGCAGACATGCGTAATCGCATCGCGAAAGCGACCAGCCCCCACGTCGACCTCCTCGGTCGGAGCCTGAGGAGACAGCCACGAGTGAATTATGGCTGCCTCCTCTAGTAGGTCCCGGTTCAGTCTGGCAACAGCCCACCGCGGAAAGCGGGATAAACGCCGCGCCACGTGACCCCTACTGGATTCCTGGGTCCGGGAGAGCTCAAATCGGATATACAAATGATCCGAGAGCGTCTCAACCTCTTCCAGGACACGCCAGTTCCTTACTCGTGCGGCGAGGGCAGGGGTAGCGAACGAAAGGTCCACTATCGACCCCCCCCTGCTGTCGCACGCACGTGTTGGTGGAGCCTCTGTTGAGAAGACAGAGGCCCACTGAGGCCGCCCACTCCTCTACGGCCTCGCCCCTTGCGTCCGTCCTGGGGGAACCCCACGCAATGGACTTTGCGTTGAAGTCCCCCAGCACAAGGACGTGCCCAGACGCTAGTCGCTACATCGAGGTCTCCAGGTTGTTGAGGAAAACCTCGAAGTCGCTCAAACTCCGGTTGGGGGAGAAATAAACACCATATATGGTGATTCCCCCCCACTCGGCGGCAACATATCCAGTGCCCTTGTCTCTTAGCGACAAGGGCGGGGAATGAGCCGCCGTGGAAACACAGTCCGCCGCAGTCAAAGCAGCCATCGCACTTGACGCGCGTGTGTCCCGTGGCCAGGCATTTAAAACACCTCATCGGTCTCGCCGCCAGGACTGTGATCCTAGCGCTCACGAAACCGATGAGCAGCCTGCCCGTAGCGTCGGCCAATACTTTGGCCTACGCTACGGGACAGCTGACCCACACGGCGCCAAGCCCTCCTGGACCGGGGCGGATGGTGCCGACCCTGACGTTGTCCGCGCTGCACCCCGTCTTCTCCCGGATTACAGCGCGGACATCTTCGGCCGTCACGGAGTCGTCCAGGCCCGAGATGCGCTGCTTTGCGCACTTAGTAGGCCTTGCGATCTTTACACCATCCGTAGCTGTAGAGTCCCCGCTTCTCAGCAAACGTGAACTTGACACAAACCCTTTTTTTTTTTTTTTTTTTAACGTGTGGAAATCCCCTCGGACCGTCACCCCTCCGGGGTTTGCGGCTGGGTGGTGTGTCGGACTCGGACCGACTAAACCCACACGGTGTGCCACTCTGCGCCTGTAACAGGAGGGATCCGGGAACAGCTGTTATTAAGACATCCGGACCCCTCCTAGCGCCAGCCCGCTCCTGGTGCGGGCTCCGTCTCAAAATTTTTTTTTTTTTTCCTCTCTTTAGGCGACGTCCGGCAAACTTGACACAAACCCTATACCAACCCGTCTGGCCAGCGTGGTATAGTAGGCCAAAACCTCCTTTCTAAGGAGAGGCCTATGTCACGCAGTGGACTGTTAAAGGCTGTTGATGATGATGATGATGATGATGATGAACCTATATTGTCCACCTGCTGGCCAACAGACTCTGTCATATTCAGTCACCATATATTTGACATTTAATTTAGATGCCAATAGCAATGACAAATTTTATAACAAAAGACAATTTAAAATAATAATAACTACTGTTTAATATATTTGTATAAATACCTGCTGCGGGTGAGAACATTTCTACATCTTTTCGAGTGCGACCATAACGCATACTAAGTCCAAGTGCTGCATTTTGCAATGTTAACACCACTAAACTAACATATTTTATATACCCTAAAAATTTTATAACATTATTATTGTACAGTTTATATTATTTTTTCATTTGTGTTATGTCCAATATAAATTAAAAAGCATGAATAAAAATTTGTGTTAGGTTTTTTTTACTGTTTATCACTAAGTTATAAATGACTATTGAAAATGTATACCATAGTTGAATCTCCTATTTGGGGCATATGATTGTGATTTTTTTGTATCTTCATCCATTTCCTCTGTATTTAATTGAACGGCTGCTTCTATATGATCTAGCACTGGCTCCAACGGTTCACTGACAATTAAATCAGAATTTAGCGTTGGATTAGAATCCAAATCACTTGCTTTCATAGAAAACTGTAAGATAAGAAAAACATAATTTAGCATTTACTTTAGTGATAAGCTAGTACTATTGTTGACAATGATTTGATTATAGATATGATTTACTGATTATGATAATTTTAATTGAAATAATGATAATAGTGGATTTACAACCTAAACAGGCACATAAACGGCAAAAACAAATAACAAAAAAAGCACAATAAAAATATACTTGTGTTGTTCAGGCAGTTCGGTGATCAAAATTTATTTTATATACTTGATATATTTTAGTAATAATTTGTTACATTTCATACTTGGTTAGTGTTAAGTAAATAAAAGCAGAATAAAAATCTAGTAGGTATTTGTTTTCTTTCCTTTAAAAATATTATAGAAATTTTCGCACTTCTAAAATGATAAAATAAATAGCGTTTATGGTGTAATAATAATGTACTTACGTCTGTTCTGATGTCGTCATGAAACAAAAATAATTTATACTTTTAATTAGGAAATGCCTAAACTTCTATGCACTTATAAACCTTTAACATGGATTATATTATTTTAAGTGAAATTTCACTACAATTCCTTTTTAGGCGGTAAATAATCGATGTCAAAGGTAACACTTACAGAGCTAAATCTTATTTAACAAATAGTTTTATTCACTAAATAAGTAATAATGCTAAACGTAATAAATAGTAAAAGTAATTGTTGACGTCGGCAAAAGGCAATGCGATCAAAACGTCAACGAACTATTGACAATTTAAAATTTGACAATGACGTACAAAACAATTTCGAAACGTATTGATAGTGGCATAGAATATAAGCATAGAGAACAAGAGCCCCAATCTTGCAAAATCGTGAGAAGTGGACAATAAATAAATGCTTCTATCTCTTTTTAGCCGTGATCTGTGATTGGGTGGGGAATATGAGGTTATTAAGTAGCCAATCGCAGCTTAGCCAAACAGAAACAGAGGAAACTATCGGGCATCCATCTCTTTCGTTGCCAGGGTTCACCCTGTGTTCTCTCTATGCTCAAATGAGTATATGCGCTATATGCCAATAGAGTTATCTCTATTAGCATATAGTGGTGAGGCTAGTAATGCGCAAAATAATTACCAACTAACATTTCATTTGTAGAAACACGTTTTTATACATTTACACATAGTTCAGAGATCGTTTACAACACTAAAATATATTGTAAGTAGTTGACAAAATTAATAACCAAAGTTACTTACGGACTATTTACACTCGTTGCATTTCATTGGCTAATAACATTTAATTCTAATCAGGCGATCATGCGCAGTGGAGTGCTCTTTATGGATTGGAGATAGAATGCAAGATGGTGCAGCTTTCTCTCTAGCACCTGGCATCACGCTTTCGGCTTGCTCTATTCTTATATCTCTACGTGAGGGCGTTTAGTTGACAACACCTGAACGTTTAGTTATTACAGTTGCAACAAATTTTTGAGAAGAATTTATTATACTTTTAGCAAATTCCTAAAAACATGAAAATAGTTGGAATGGTTCACTGTATGTGAGTTCAAATCTCATAGACATCTATCATATATTACTAAGTGTATAGAGTCTGCCGTTCTTCTTTGTTCTAAGTTCAGTTCTAACAGGATCTACGACTTTGAACCGGGCCGAACTTAAAAAATCACAAATATGGCACCTTTTTCTTACAAGTCGACAGTGAGCCAACCAGGCTTCAGTATGGCTAGGCACTTAGTGAAACAAGTTTTGTATTCCTAATCATACTATATTATGATTTTGGCGGCCCCCGAAACTGCCCCCTAGGGCGAGTGTCCCAGATTACCCTCCCCCCTAGATCAAGGGCTGAGTTTTAATCTGCTCTCGATCTCACAAAATTAAATGTCATAAAATTTATTCTTGTAGTAGTTGTTTTACTCTATGTTTACTATGTGATTATATTGTATTGTGACCAAAAGTTTAATCTGTTTTCTCTGAAGTAATACTTCACGATGAGAATACCTTTTATGACATTTGTGAGATCAAGAGTAGATCAGAATTAAATTTTGAATGAATTTTTATTACAAAAATTGATCTAATAATCAAAATGCACATTTTCAATTTCTTAACATTTTATTCAATTTTCTACACATACTTTAAAATATAAATAACATAAATACCCTATATTTCACATAGTTATTTATTGATCATTTTCAAAATCAGCAGGATTTTTACGTGAGAGACGGTGATGCTCCCTTTCAACTCCTTCATAGATCAGGTATCCAATGACAAAAGCTAAAACAGATGAATTGTGTGCAATTTTATTATTGACCATAAGAATTTAATAAACTAGATTTTACTGTGAATAACAACAAATGAAGGGATATGAGAAAAATTAGAGAAATTACTTGACTGACTAACATTAATACAAAGCCTAAATCAGTGGAACTACTAAGAAATTTTATTGGAGCTAAATAATTACATTTACATGAAAATATATGTTTCAATAGACATCACAGCAATACAAATAATGTAAGTTCTATTAGAGTTATTCAATAAATCTATACTAATATTATAAAGCTGAAGAGTTTGTTTATTTGTTTGTTTGTTTGAACGCGCTAATCTCAGGAACTACTGGTCCGATTTGAAAAATTCTTTCAGTGTTAGTTAGCCCATTTGTCGAGGAAGGCTATAGGCTATATATCATCACGCTAAGACCAATAGGAGCAAAGCACCAATGAAGAATGTTTCAAAAACTGAGAAAATTTATTACTATTGAGAGACGCAGACGAAGTTGCGCGGGTCAGCTAGTTATAATATAAGATTTCAGACATCTGACACACAACGCCATCTAGTTTCAAATTAAGCAGAGCTTGTACTATGAAAGCTATATTGACTGATAAAACATTTAAGTACTTTTTTTTCGTAAAATTATATATATTATACATAGTAAACACCCACACTCTGAAACAAATATTTGCAGGTCATACAAACATTTGGTTTGACCCAGGAATCGAACCCCGAGACCTCAGCACAGCGGTCGCATATGCTACCAATGCATCACCGAGGCAGTCGTCACTTTTCAAAAGATACACTGAAACTTCCATAGTTCTTTGCAATTATGACCATGATTGAATTTAAGTGATTATGAGATTTCAATAAATTGATAATGAGTGTTAAGATGGATTAAGAAGCTATATAGCTGATTAGTGTTGAAGAGGAAGAGCTTAAAAGAAATGGTAAATGAAGGGTATGTCACTGATGTGATTTAGACTGATTGAATGGCTATGAACATTTTTTACCTCATATTAATTATTAAAAAAAATAAAACTTACGAGGTAGTACTCTAAATACGCTCTCACGGAATCTCCGGAAAGTATTAGGTATACCGTGAGAAATGGCACCAGCAAAAGCACGCTGTTCGTGATGCGACAGTTTGTATGTTATCAGCCCTCGGATCTTAGCAAGCTCTCCAAAATGCTTTCCCATTTTCGTTTATTATTAATTTAACAGTGAATAGTTAACTTATATAATACCTGCTGTGCAATAATGTGCAAAAAAGTCAATTTGAAGGATGATTTTATCTGACATTAGACAGGCACATTCGGTGCTGCCAACTATTGATTTAAAGCTCCCTAAAAGAGGAATACAAAACAAAAAAAATATCGATCTATTACTTATTAAAAAAAAACAATGTTTTAGACACGAACATATTGAGTTTATTGAGATTCTAGAGGCTTTTTCTTGGAAGCCTCAGTAAGAGCACCATAAAAACTACATTTTAAATAATGACATGTCAATGTTATTTTGTTGAATCTATTCATTCTTCTCATTCATTCAAAAAATTACTATAACTTTAACGTAATATAAGCTTTCCTATCACCGTGCCTTTACAAATATTTCATTTTTTATTTTATTATCTTCGGAATACCAACAGCATAAAATGACTTACTACACTTACTAGAAACTAAACCTAATACCATCATTGCTATTGACAGGCATTCGCAAATAGGTTCTAAATGTTAAGTTATTACTAATCAGGTAGAAAGTAGAAATACAAAAATAAAAATACAAAAGCTTATCCTAATAGTAGTAGTTTGTCTCATTAGGATCAGAGCCAAAAAAACCAAAGGCGTATATTTTTTTCACCTATGAGGGCTTCGATCCAAATATCACAAACTTATCATGCCTTTTACAAATGCCTTTCACTTATCTATCTGCACGAATAATAAATAAATTCTGTCGGTATTTAGTGTTGGCTCTGGTAATAAGTGGTATTCTTCGTGGTACCGAGAATTTAATTTTGTCAAGTAGGGCCGAGATATCGACATTGCCATTAACAGTTTTCAAAAGTGTCACTACATCAGACACAGCTCGTCTATTCTTTAAGGGTAGAAAATGATACCTCCTACATCTTGTTTCATAACCATGGTCAGTACACTTCGTCTTGTATTGCAAGTATCTTAGAAACTTTTTTTGAATGACTTTAATACGTTCGATATAAGTGCAGTAAAACGGGTTCCACACCACCGAGGCATTTTCTAGGGTACTAAGCACGAACGCGCAACACCACCTTTATGGGCTTAATATGTTTAAATTCCGAAGTAGACCTAATAAGAAAACCTAGCGATTTGTAGGCCTTTTTTATGACGGAGTCAATGTGCTTTTCAAATATTAATTTAGAGTCCTTTATTAAGCCTAGATCCTTTATACTGGAAACATTTGAAAGGGGTCTGTTAGAAATAGTATATAGAAATTGAATGGGGTTAATTTTTCGAGTAAAAGTAATAGCAAAACATTTAGATACATTCAGACTTAACTTATTATTTTACAATATTGTTCAAAATTATTGAAATCGCTCTGTAGCAGATCACAATCGGCGGGATTCTTAATGGCCATAGATATCTTAATATCTGCGTAGGATAGAAAGTTAGCATGTTTAAAACAGGGGTGTCCCAGAAAGAATGGATAATCCTGACACACTTAATGGTACAGCTATCTAAAAAAAATACCCGAAAAAAAAAACAATTGGTGCCCAAATTATGCTTTTTTGTTGTAAAAAAAATACTTTTTTGTTGTCCTTACTGTGTACTTTAAGCCCATTTCAAGTTTGGAGGAATTACGCAGTCGTGTTCAGGAGGCTGCTTCAAAAAGACTTCTTAAAAGAGTATTTTGTAAACTGCATTAACTGCGCATTTTTTTTAAATAGTTGGCCCCTTAGGTTATCTTAAATGTTTTTTTCACAAAAGGCTCTGAAACTTTGTCATAATTTTTTTTTGATCAAATTTCATGTTAAAAATTTTAGTTGATATTTTTTTACAAAAAAATACAATAGTTACTCACACTATTTACTGCATTTCTAATAAGATGGTCTGTGAGGAATAAGATAACGCCAAAAACGCAACAAATTTCATTAATTTGCGGCTGTGGTGTACATGTAAGTACAGTAAGGACAACAAAAAAGTATTTTTTTTAAAACTTCATAATTTTGGGCACCAATTGTTTTTTACGCCAGATAGCTGTACTATTAAGCGCTCCAGGATTATCCATTCTTTCTGGGACACCCTTATATGTCATTAATAAAGATCACGAAAAGCAATGGTCCCAGTAAAGATCCTTGTGGGACCCGAAGGAATCGGCATTCACGCAGATGTGAAGCCATTTATTGCTACTGCTTGGGATCTTTTCGTTATATAGGAGGTAAACCACCTAAATAAGTTACCATGTATTTCGGCTATATTTAGCTTCTCTAAAAGTGGTAAATGATCTATGCGATCGAAAACTTTACTGAAATCAGTATAAACGGCATGCACTTCAGCCCCCGAGTCCATATTCGATGTCACAAAGACATTGAAAACTAATAAATTAGGTACAGTAGACCTATGTCTTAAAAATCCGTGCTGTACAGGTATAAAAAACGACTGCACTCACTCACGAGGCATATACCTGTCTATACACAATACGTTCAAAGTTTTTTTTTTTGAAAAATGCAAAGTTTTGATATTGGCCTATAATTTTTGATGTTAGAACGGTCTCCATTCCTATGGACAGGTGTAACAAAGGCTGACTTCCAAATAGCTGGTACAATACCTTCCTTTATAGACCTATAGAAAATAATGTACGAGGGCGGGTCAAAAAGTCCGTGACTTTTGGAATAAAACACAGATTTTTTGATAAATAAATCATTTTATTTTTCAACGTAGTCTCCCTTGAGCTCTATACACTTTGTCCAACGCTTCTCCGATTTTTTTATCCCTTCCAAAAAATATGATTTGTCGAGGTCCTCAAAATAAGCCTTTGTTTGCGAGATGACTTCATCATTGGAGTCAAATCTTTTTCCACCAAGCCATTTCTTCAGGTTTGGGAACAAGAAGTAGTCACTCGGAGCCAAATCTGGAGAATAGGGCGGATGAGGGAGCAATTCAGAGACCAATTCATGGATTTTTGCCATGGCAACTGCACATGTGTGCACTCTTGCATTGTCTTGGTGGAAAAGAACTTTTTTCTTGGCCAAATGAGGTCGGTTTTTTTTCAAATCGTCATTGAATCGGTCCAATAAGTTGGCATAATATTCCCCATTGATTGTTCTTCCCTTTTGAAGGTAGTCAATGTGGATTATCCCGCGTGCATCCCAAAAGACAGTCGCCATAACTTTATTGGCTGACAAACCCACCTTGGCCTTCTTTGGCGCCGATTCACCCTTAGAAACCCACTGTTTTGACTGTTGTTTGGTCTCTGGTGTGTTGTGATGAATCCATGTTTCGTCCACGGTTACAAAACGGCCCAAAAACTCCTCCATATTGCGATTAAACAACGCCAAACCTTCCTGTGAAGTTGTAACACGATTGCGTTTGTGGTCGACTGTGAGCAATCGCGGCACCCATCTTGCGGAAAGCTTTCTCATGCCTAAGTGATCATTCAAAATTGAAACCACTGAGCCATGCGAGATCCCTACGGCTTCCACAATCTCTTGCACTTTCAATCTTCGGTCGGCCAACACCATATCGTGAATTTTTTCGATTGTTTCGGGTGAAGAGACCTCAACTGGGCGTCCAGGACGTTCGGCATCTTCAGTGCTTGTACGGCCACAACGAAATTCAGTAAACCACTTTTTTACCATTGAAATCGATGGGGCAGAGTCCCCATAGTATTTATCAAGCTTAGCCTTGGTCTCGGTAATGGTTTCTTTTCGCAAAAAATAATGCTTAATAAGCACACGAAATTCACTTATTTTCATTTTTCCCTCAAATTACTGGGTAGTCTGATAAAGATAGCTGCCAAACACAAACTAACTGACGCAGCAAGTTCAAAATTTTGACAGGAGTCAACTGACAGATGCCTGTTGACAGGAGTAGTGTTGCTTTTTCAGTCAAGAGGTCAGAAATTCAAAAAGTCACGGACTTATTGACCCGCCCTCAATGGTAAACACAAGTTATCATTACACTGTTTAATAAAAAATGGGGGATATCATCAGGCCCAGCACCCTTATTAAGATCGACAGCTTCCAACAGTCTTTTAATCTCATTTGGACTAATATTAATATTATTTATTAAATTACTATCAGTATTAAATGGTTGATAATCACGGATGGGCGTTTGCAGAGCGTTATTCACATTAGTATTATGAAAGCATGATTGAAAGTAATCTGCGAACAGATTGGAGACAGATTCTGCAGTATTCGTAGAAATATCATCCAAGTTCATAACCGATGGAAATGAATGAGAGGCTTTATTAAGTGATTTTACATAGACCTAAAATAGTCGAAGATTTTCTACTACCGAATCCTCAATTTTATTTATATATAATTGACTAGCTGACCCGCGCAACTTCGTCTGCGCCTTTCAATAGTAATAAATTTTCTCCGTTTTTGAAACATTCTTCATTATTGC